CCCAGGGGCTGAGGCTTGGCACTGGCTGGGGTCACCACTGGGATGTATTGCTGTAGCTCCCTTGGGAAGCCTCCAGTGCCTGGCTGCCCCCCTCCGTGGTGCCCCCTGCTTTGCTCCCTTCCCATGCCCTGGCAGGGCATGTGGAGGTAGAGGAGCAGAGAAACCTCTCTGTTGTTCTCAGGCTCCTGAAGCAGGTCATTGTATAAAAGACAGCCCCCACCTTTTGTCACACTCCAGCACTGGCCATTTTGTCCATGCATCATTTTTTGGGCTAGTCCTTAGGGATGGCAGCCGCTGCTCCCCAAAACTCCCAGGGCTCTGCAGCGCCTCCATAAAGGACCCTGGCCCTGGCAACACCAGGTCCTGTGACACGTGAAAGTGCCCATGGGAGAGCCAGGGGCAGGAGTCCGGGCAAGGTGTGGGGCGCCATGTGTGCAGGACTCCTCCAGGGGTGCCCCACTCCTCTCGCTGTGCCTGGGAGGGCGAAGAGGGTTCCTGGTGCCACACAGGGTGATGTGGGCTCTGGTGTCCTGCTGGGAGTTGTCTGTGCTGTCTGAGCAGACCAGGTGCATTGGGCATGCATGGGCGCAGCTGCCTGGGGCCTGCTGTCTGCCACCGTGGCCCCTGGGCTGTCCATCCCCAGCCCTGCCACCAGCTCTGTGCCCTGGTGGTGATGAGGAGGATGAAGACTTGACCTCCCATGAGCAGCTTTCTCCATGCAGCCAGAAACATTAGTTTGCTGGGTCCCTTGGGCACTGGGGACAGGGATCCATAGGGTCCTGGCAGCCATGGATAGTGGCATGGGGTGCCGCGGGGCAAGACCATGGCCCACCCTCCCTGTGAGCATCCAGTGCAGATGTGAGAGGACCAGCTGGTTAGGGTGGTACCCAGTGCCAGACAGCATGGCACTGCCTGTCTTGCCGTGCCCACCGCTGGGACCCAGCGTGATGGCGCTCCCCTCTCCAGCTTCCTCCTGACAGCCGTGGCCCTGCTCTCCAGCTACTCCATCCACCTGCTGCTGAAATCCTCGGGCATCGTGGGTGAGTGCTGGGGCTCCACGTGCTGGGCTTGTGCTGCGGGTCCCTTCCTAGCCCTGACTCCTCTGCACCTCTGCTGCCCATAGGGATCCGTGCGTATGAACAGCTGGGCTACCGAGCCTTCGGCACGCCGGGGAAGCTGGCTGCAGCCATTGCCATAATGCTGCAGAACATTGGAGGTGAGGACAAGGCAGAGTAGGCGCAGGGGAGGGCAGCGGTGGGGCTGGGGATGCTTAGGTGCCCCTGGGTGCCCTCCCTGCACCAGCGTGGCACAGCCTCGCTCTGCTCTGCAGCCATGTCCAGCTACCTGTACATCGTCAAATCCGAAGTGCCTCTCGTCATCCAGACTTTCCTCAACCTGGAGGAGAAGACCTCGTGAGTGTCTCCTACCCACCCTGTATCCTGCCCTGACCATGTCCACCATCCTGAGCCTTAGCCTCATATCCTAGCCTGAGCATCGCCCCAGATTTCAAGCCCATGAAAAGCCTGGGCACCTGCCTGGCAGTGCCATGAGGATGTCGGCCCCTGCCCTGTGCCCTGGCCACAAATAGAAGGACAGAAATGTGTCGTGGTCATGCCCAGCCTCTGCCCCTTGCCTCCCAGGATGCCAAGTCCTGGGTAAGTTTGGCTGGAGCAGAAGTGGCAGCAGAAGTGTCATCCAGGTCTCTTGGGATGGTGAAGGAGGTGGCAAAGAGCAGTGATCCTGATGAGTAGGGCCAGGAGATGCCAGGGGCTTGGGCACCAGTTCCTTGCAGCTCAGCCTCCAAATCCCCTTTCACCTCTCCATGGGGTGCTCTCCACAGCCCAGCACCTCCGTGCCATGTCCCCTCACACCAGCAGGCGCTGTGGATTTGTATCCAGCTGGGCAGCCCATGACAGGGATTTAGTGGCATTAAGCCACTACTATTTTTGATAACCGTCAGTGCTGAATAAGCCCCCAGGCAGGATTAAACCGAAGTGAACTTCCAATCCCTGCTCCTCACTTCCCCTTGGGATAAACCCTTCCTCCTTGAGAAAAGCTGTTGCTTGCCCAGCTGGCTCTGGTGCTACCAGCTGCCAGACGTAGAAAGGGGGCCAGGGAGCTCGTTCTGGAGAGCTTATTCTGCCCCCTGAGGCTCATGGCTCTCCGCAGTACCATGTAGGGACATTCCCTGTGCCCCCATGCCCCTGGCCAAGGGAGGCTGTGAGCAGGCATCTCCTCTGCTTCCAGGGACTGGTACACGAACGGGAACTACCTGGTGATCCTGGTTTCCATCACCATCATCCTGCCCCTGGCCCTCATGAAGCAGCTCGGTGAGTCTGGGTGAGGGCTCCTGGCCAGCTCTGCATCCCTGCCCGTGCCCACCAGTGCTCTCCTCTTTGCACAGGCTACCTGGGCTATGCCAGTGGCTTCTCCCTCAGCTGCATGGTCTTCTTCCTCATCTCGGTGAGTGCAGGACATGAGGCCCTGGAATGTGCTGGGCTTCCCAGTGCCGGACCAGGCATTCCCTGTGCCTGCACTGCAGCTCCAGTGCCAGGGCTGCCGGGATCCCAGGCTTGTCTGGAGCACCACCACACTATCCCGAGCAACCCTGTGGTCTGCTCAGAGGGGCGGGGTATGGGACAAGCCTTCTTGTGGGAGAGTGACATGCAAGCAGCCCTAGAAGCAGAGTGGGGGACAGCTGGCACCCCACGGAGGGGACCAAGTCAGGGAGCTGGAGGGGACCCAGCCAGTAAGGGGCGGTGCAGCTGGAGCTGATGACCCCCCGCTCAGGTGGCCGTTGCTGGCGGGGCATCACGAGGCACTTTCTGTTCCCCCCAGGTCATCTACAAGAAGTTTCAGATCCCCTGTCCTCTCCTCGCGCAAGACATGAACAGCACGGGCAGCCTCAATGACACGCTGGGCAGCCCCAGCAACCACCAGAACGACTACCCCGTTCTTCAGGCCCCTGAGAAGGGAACCTGCACCCCCAGCTACTTCACCCTCAACTCCCAGGTAGGGCCTGCACGTGAGGCCAAGCACCCAGCTGGGCTGCACCTCCAGGTGCGTGGGAAAGCTCCCTGGCCCATAGCCAAGGTGGCCAGGGGCACCCAAGGCCTCCTGCTGTGGGCCCCCAGCACTCTGGGCAGCTGCATGTGCTCCCAAGCCTGCTGCGCTGATGCTCGGCCACCTGCTCCTCTTGCAGACGGCGTACACCATCCCCATCATGGCCTTCGCCTTCGTGTGCCACCCTGAGGTGCTGCCCATCTACACGGAGCTGAAGAAGTGAGTGCCGGGGAGGAGGCCTGGGGCAGGGGGGCCTGTGGGCAGCGAGCAGGACCTCATCCTGCTCCCAGGAAAGATGCTGGTCACCAAAGTAAGCGGGGAGTAGGGTCCCTAGGACAGTATGTTCCCAGGTTCCTAGAAATCTGGCCTCGATCCGAGGGGGAGAGGGCAAGACCCGTCCCAGCAGCACAGGTGGCAGGACTCAGCCATGGTGCTGCTCCAGGTGCCACGTCTGCTCCCTGTCTCACCTTCATCTTCCCCGCCATCTTCTACATACGCTGATGCCCAAGGGCAAGGAGTCTCTGCGCTCCCCACCCAAGATCCTGGTGAGCCCTGGGCACCCGCCATCAAGATGTAGGGATGGGACGGGATGGG